CCCTACCTTTTCTGTTAACTCAACTGAATCATCATGTATCTGTGCCCTCCTGAAGACAGGGAACCAGGCATCATGATCTTACCCCATGAGCTCCAGCTGCCTACTTTGCCTGTGAGATACCTGGTCTTTTCCTCCCTGTCAACACACATGGAGTTTGTTATTTCTCCCTTGCAATTGGCATTCCAATGCAAATCAGACTTCTGATTTCTTTCCCTTAAAAAGCTATAACTTCAATGAACATAATTACAGGAGAATATAATATTCTGTTATTTTTTCCAGCATCTCAACAGCTAACACTAATGAGTACAGAACAAGTTCTGCTACTTGCATTAGAAATAGACAAATCATTTAAATATCATCTAGGACTTCAGTCTTAATAAAAACAGATGTTGAGACTCTATGATATTCATTTAATCATTGGTGTAACATTTATGGCAGTAAGTATTGGTCAAGGTAACTGCAGGTAAATATGTCTGTTTTAAGTTTGCTGTATCAGAGTGGTACACAGATTTTATTTTTTTTAATATTAGGTATTCTGCCTGAGAGTTACCCATTTCATGTTCACAGTTCCTTATCATTAATTTCATCATTAGCATTCTACACAATGCTAATGAAAAAAAAAAGAAAGAAAAAAAAAAAGAAAGTTTAATGAAAAAAAAGAAAGTTTATTTTGTAAATATTTCCTGGTCAAAAAGATGATCAACCTGCTTGCCAGTGACAGGATTTTCTTTTTTTCCTTTCCTTTTTTTTTTTTCTTTTTAAGACTGCCTTGTGAAATTATTCCAATATAGGCATTTATTTCATCAGTAATAAAATTTAATCTTTTATGCCCAGTCCTTGATTTTTCTAATTTTTATTTACTCTGAAAACTTTACTCTGAAAACTTTTTTTTGTTTGTTTAACATGGCAATGTCATTTTATGGGACCTTCTTTTCAAGACTTTTTCTGTTGAAATACACCAAATATACAAGCAAAAATTATAGATTATGCACAGAAGATGCATTTTAAAGAAAATCAATTTATGCACTTTGGCACACATATCATAGGAACATATGGACAGATAGTCACACTTTAGATTTTTCTCCACACCTTTTGGACTTTGTTTTAATGCAGTTTTACTATCAACAGCTACATTTTCAGCATACTGTAGCTCAAAAAATGGACTTGCAATATTTTACAATACTTGGACAGCAATATTTTTAATGTTACACTATGAAAGGTAATTTTATCAAAAAACAAAACAAAACAAAACAAACAAACAAACAACAAAACAACCAACCAACCAAAAAACCTTTATATACAAAAGTTTCAGTCAGATAGTGAAATTTGACACCAGACGAAGATAAGAGAAAATTGTGTATTGAAGTAAGTTTTAGATTTCTGTTACACTGTTTTCCTACTCTGAATGGAATTCTATTACATATTCATGAATAACTATAATATAATATAAGGGTGGTTTTGAGCCCAGAGGTTCTTAATTGACAGATAAATAAATAATAAATAAATAAATAAATAAATCTATTTAATTTTCACTTTTTTTTTTTTTTTTTTTTTTTTTTTTTGGCACTTTCTCTTGTGCTTTCTCATTATGGGACAGTGCACGGTATTAACATAATTAGCATAGACACTGGTCAACATTACTTCTCTTTCCAGACAAATAGTCAGTATACTCTACACTTAACACTACTTCAGAATTTATATTAAAATACAACTGGTAACCAATGGCTGATGAATTTGAACATCAATTTGTGGTTTATTAATGTTCCACTCTATAACTGAAAGCTAGCACCTTCCTCTACTATTAGACTCTTGGCTTATATTTTTACTACTTCAGATAATCTTTTAAAAATCAATCATTCTAGGTTATCAATTCAGTGTAAAAGATGACATGCTTATGAAAAGAACACTAGTAACTCAATCAGCAGATTTTTACCAGTGTTTATTTATTTATTTATTTTGATCCTTTCTAACACTATTCCAAACAGTTTGTTTTAATTTCAGTTTTCTGTGTGACAGAAGAAAAATAGTATTTTAAAGACTCATTTGTTTTCCATTCCCTAATTCTCAGTAATGGCATCTTCTGCAGGTCTTACTTAATATTTTTCCATAGATGGATATTTTTTAAATAGACTGAATAAGTGCAATTTGACATATTGTTCTTAAGTAACTTGCAAAGACACTTGCCAATCTTACCTTATTTCACGTAGATAAAACAACCATGTGATAATGGATGTCACCCACCATAGATATCACCCACCATAACACTGTTCATCAAGAATAGTGTGTGCAATGTAAGTTTTTGAGCATTGTGTACAGTACTGGGTGCCACAATAGAAGAAGGGTGCAAAACTAGCACAGAGTGTCCAAAGGAGCACAACAAAGATGCTGAAAGGCCTGGATGGAAAAACGTATGAAGAGCAGCTAAGTCACTTGGTTTGTTCGTCCCAGAGAAGAGGAGGATGAGGGGAGGCCTCATGGTGGCCTGCAGCTCCCTCATGAAAGGAGCAGAAGGGTAGGCACTGAGCTCTCCTCTCTGGGCACAGCAACAGAACCTGAGGGAATGGCATGGAGCTGGGACAGGGCTTTGTATTAGGAAAAGGTTCTTCTCCAAGAAGGTGGTCAGGCAGTAGAACATGCTCCCCAGGGCATTGGTCAAGCCACTGAGCCTGATGCAATTGAAGAAGCATTTGGACAATGTTCTGAGACATATGATTTGATTTTTGAGTGTTCCTGTGTGGTGCCAGGAGTCGGATTTGATGATCCTTCCAACGTGGGTTATTCTGTTCTATAATTCTATAGTTCTGTAAGACAGCAAAATTAGCTTCATCAGGGGGTTGTTTCTCAAGATGTGCATCATATTGAGGCCTATACACTTATTCAAAGATGGATCTTGAAACACCTCTAGAAACCATCTAAAGAAGAGAGGAAGACCATTCTGAAATTTATTAACCATTCTCCCTATTGCCTTTCACATAACCGAAGTAATTGTCATGTTTTCAACATCAAGGACAAAAGATGAAGCAGGAGATAGCTAAGGCTTTATCATGCTTTATGTATTGGAACTAAATTTAATTTTATACCTTAGAACAACCGTAAAATATTCTTCTTTTGTTCATAAATGTTGAATCTTTTGGAGAGGAAGATGGGACTTATTCAGAGCAAGTGTAAGTTAGAGGAAGGTCAGTGTAAATTAGAGGAAGTTCAGATATTATCTAGGTAAGGAAGACCATATATTCCCTGAAAAGACCCTTGTGTGAACTTGAGATCACTGCATGTTTTTGAGTTTTGGAAGCATTCCTGACTACCAGAGGGTGATGAAGCTATGCTATCTTAATGCAGAATATTCTTATACACTATTGAAATCAGTTCTGAAGGCCAAGCCTAAAAAAATTCAACCCGGAAGAGATGGTGTTTAACAAAATCAAGTGTGATAGGAAATGTTTGTCTGACACATGTATATATACATTTGGGTTAATTTTACACACTTCCAAGGAATGATTCTGGATTTGGATCAGCACAACTGACAGCTAAACACATCCTTAAATCTCTCTGATGTTTAATGTTATAGCAAATGAATGCTCAAAATAGATGATTAACAACATATTCAGCAATCATTTGAACACTATTTTGAGAACAGTGATGACAAAAATGACAAGACATGCACATCCATTGCAAAGCATTCTGATGTGAGTTACAGTGGTGAATATACTGTTATTTCCAAAGTCATTAAGGAAAACCAGAAATGTCAAATCAGTCTACCCCAGATCTGCTTTGCTGATATTCTTATCTTTATCTGTGTGACAGATAGCAAGATCTGGGAACTGACCAGTTTTTAAACTTGACTTCTGAATCAGCCATGAAGAGCAGTACCTTTAATAACTGAACTTCAACATTCTGAATACACAGATATCAGAAATAATTTTATAGAATACAAACCAGTGACAATTTTTGAGAGTATTATTACCCAAAATACGAATGCAGGTTCTTACAATTAATCTTTTTAAATGAAGAACTTAAAAATATTACTTTGATTGTTGTCAATAAACCTGTGGATAGGCCTGTGTAGCTAATTGTCTCACATCACTAACGGTGCTGTTAAAATCACTGCCACATATTCCCTACTGATTTGTATTAGTGTTACTCTGAAAGACTCATTTTGGATGAGTCTTATAAATGTATAAATATAAGTTATAAATAACTTATAAATGTAGTTAACAAGTGAAGAATGAGTCCGAAATGGGGTTAATGGGGTTATTGATTGTATTATTGTGAAATGAGTGTGACTCCTTTTTTTTATTTTTTTTTCCTGTATGAGTTACATTCCAAATCCAGGCTCTGATTTCACTGAAGATTGACAGAGTGATGTCTGTTTCTGGCTGGTCCTTGTCTAAGACTTCTGTATTCCATGCAGAGTATGTTAGGTTTATTGCCAGTGTATTGCATGGTCACAGAGTAGACTAAAATACAACAGGAAGGAAATGTAGTCCATTTTGGTTTCACATACAAAATCTTAATTAAATAAAAATATTCACACATGCAGTTCTCACATAGACCTGAATAAATATGAAATAAGCCAGTGATTTTGATAATGTTAAATTAAATGTATGCTAGACAGAAAAAAGTTTTTAAATTCATGTTTTTTTTTTTTCTTTTTGTAAGTACTCCCATAACACCAAAAACTATTTGAGAACTTATCTGATATCCTGTATACAAGTAGACTGCATTTGAACAATACATATTTTATTTTATTGCACAAGTATTCTACTGCAGTATGTTTTCAGCACATTAAAATAAATTACATATAATTTGAAGAGACACCATGCTAACAAAAAAGTTAGTCAAAAAAAAAAATAGGAGAAGAAAAGGCAAAATGAAAGAGATGTGCAAAGTTAAGAGGAGAGAGAAGAGAACACAGCTGTAGAAGTGAGCAATACTTAAGTTAGGGGTTATAATACGTATCTTTCATTCTAAACAATGCCTTTTTCTCCACTTTTTTTTAGATGAATGGGCTGGAAATATCACACCTAAGTCAATTAAGAGTAAGATACCCCTTTACTTTGTTCATCTTGAATCAAAGCTCCTAAGTAAGTATAAATGTATTGTATAGTGAACACAGAGGTCAGTGAGGAAGACATAAAGTCTTTTCATCAGAGAAAATGGTGATTTAAATCTTAATCTCTTTCAAAGGCTCTTGGGGGAAAAAAATAACACTCCACTAAAGGTAGAACAGAAAGAATACCCAAACAGTCTCCCTCTCATTATTCATCACAATTAAATAATCAGAGATACACAGTCTTGACTGGTTAGATCATATTTTCTATGTTGTTTTGGTTTTGGAAGAGCTAGTTAATCAAAGTTTCTTTTTATATTTCAGTTCCAGAAGCTTGTGAATTCACAATGAAATAAGATGAAAAATCTGGTTTAAAACTACACTTAAAGACAGTATTGATTATTTAGTCTAATTTTCAATCTTCTATCTAATTTTTCTTGACCTAAGACAGTATAGGTAACATCTTAATCTAGTTTTCACATGCAGTGGAATGACAATGTTTAGATTTTTAGAGCAATGAGAAATCAAATTAAAATATTAAACCTTGATATGCAAATGGGAGACTATTTGGGGAAACAAAGTGGTGCCAGACAAACCTACTTTTCGACTTTGTTACCAGATACTAGATACCTGGTTAGGTCGTTGCTTTTTTTCTTACATTCTGGTGTTGCATTAAAAAACATCCACTTTCAATATCTCAGAGCCTTTTCCTCTTATATCTAATCTACTTCCAGAAGTCTGGTAACAAAATTAGGCATCATATTAGATCACATGACAGCTGTTGTATAGTGGGGGATGCTGACAGATGGATCACAGTTCCCATAAACTGGAAATGCTTCTCCCTTGGTGTTCCAGGCATGTGTTCCTCAAAACACTATAATAGAGTGGAAAGGCCATTCCTCACTGTACCTTCTCCTGCTACTAGGGACACATCTTGGCTAGCTGGAGATGGGAAAAAGGAGTAAATCCAACTGAGAGCTTAGTTATTCTGCCTGTCCACTTACTTCTGTAGCTGATGGTGGCAAAAAAGAGATGGGGCTTAGATGCTTAGGATGCTTAGCCATCTAAGTTCCTCTGACATGTTCATGTTGATTCAAATTCAGGACTGCTTTTTCCTTTCTAGTTTTGCTGTCACAACCTCTTATTTTTATTTATTTATTTATTTTTTTCTCTCTGAAATTCTTCTCCCTGAAAAAATGCATTTAAAATTTGGAGTACATTATTTCAGATATTGTACTCCATTATATTTTATATTATATTATATGTATATAATATTATATTTTAATATATTATATATTATTAATATTATATATTTATATTATATTATATTATATTATATTATATTATATTATATTATATTATATATGTACTCCATAATATTTTATATTATTTTTTTCAATAACATATTTTTCTTTTCTATTGTTTCTATTATGGAGGTAGGAATGGTCTTCCCTCATAGCTCCAGATACTTGTAAACAGTCAGACTGTTACCCTCACTGTATTTGCTCAACCATTCTTCATAGAATCATAGAATGGTTATTTTCCATCAAGGTTCTTCTAAAGCACAGAATCATAGCATCATAAAGATTGGAAAAGAGCTCCAAGATCATCTGGTCCAACCCCCTACCACTGCTTTCCATCCCCCTACCACCAATATTACCCACTAAACCATGTCCCTAAGCACCATGTAAAGCTGGTAAGTGAACTACTTCAGGTTCTTTCTTTTTGTATCTTATAGTTGTTAAAGTTCTCCAGCCATTAACCTCTAGACTTTTACTAGGACTTTCCTACCTATTTTTCAAAGACCTCATTTCATTGCTGTGTCTATACTACAATAAGTACCACTCTTATAAGTAAAACACAAAACAAATATTAAATTATGACGGAACTCATAATTTCAGTATGTCAGTGATGTCAAACTGTGCATCTCCTTCACAAAAAAAGTGAATAATTTTATTTTCCAGGTTTTCCATGTTTAGCTGGCATTAAACATATTTAAACAGATTCTCTGCACTGGGTTCTCTTTAAAAATCAGTTTTTGTATCTGTTATATATGAAATCCATCAGAGAAGTGTCTTGGAGAGATAATCTTTCTGTTCTGTTTTTTTAAGTCTGAAGGGGAAGAACTATATTATTTAGTCCAAAAAAATTTACTGAAAACTTTCCAACTCTAATTTCATATGTATATATAAATGTGTGTGTGCACATGCATGTAGACTGGTCTTCACAGGGGGACTCGAGTTTATTTTAATAATTTATTAATTAGACAGTTGTCTGGGTCATCATAAGTTTTCAAGCTAAAAATTATTCTTTTACTGCATTTCTGGCATTATTTCAGCCATTAGAGACAATGTCTTCACTACAGATTTCTACTTCTGAGTCATTTCCTTTCAGATAAACTTTTATAAATTATGGATTTTTTGGATGAGTACCAAAACAATTATCTTTTTTTTTTTTTCCTTTTTTTTTTTTTCTTCCCAGTTATTATTATTTAAACTGAATTTGAATTATTCCTGTATATGCAAAATAAATGAAAAGTCATTTCACATTGGAGGATATAACCACCAATGCCACTAAATTCTCTCTACACATTAGCTCTGCAGCCATACAAAAAAGCATGTTTAGGACACAGACTTTGCTGCTTTTACTGTAGGTAAAATGGTTAGTTATTGGGTTAGAGGGAAAGAGAATTATTTGAAAATCACATTACTCAAAACATCCCTAAATAACATCCTAAGTGTACCATTTGTAGTTGACAACTGTGATGAGTTATTCCAGGTAGGCAGCTAAGCCCCACAGACACGTTCACTCACTCCACACCCAGTAGGATGGGGGAGAGAATTGGGAAAAATAAAGGAAACTTGTTAAATGGGATAAAGACAGTTTAATACATGAAGAAAAAAAAATAAAAAATACCCAAATGGTGCAAAAGCAGTCATTTACCACCAGCAGACCAATACTCAACAACTGGTCATCAAGCAAAGGCAACTTTAGGACACTCTCTCAATTTTCTCCATTGAGTATGACTTTATATGTTATGGAATATCTCTTTGTTCACTTCAGGTCAGGTGTTCTGGCAGAGTCTCCTCCCAGTTTTTTGCCCATGCCCTGCCTACTTGCAGGTGGGATAGAGCGAGAAACAGTGTTTTTTTTTTTTTTTTTTTTTTTTTTTTTACAGCATCATACAACACAAATCATGGATTATTTTCAGCCAGGTTAAATCTCCTTGAGGCACACATTGGATTTCCCCATCCATTTTATCAACCAAGTGACAGTGACTAGAACAAAAACAATCACATGACCTTTTTGACTTTTCCCAAAGAAGATGTAAACACATTGATTTTCCTCAACAGTTGCTAAAGCATGCTATGGGGACTTCATTTTCTTCCACAGTATGTAAGGTGTTTGTCTGGGTTGGTCCAGGTCAGTTAGCAGATACTCTAGTGTTAATTAGCCAAATAACTTCTGCTGAATTTGCATCCCAGTGCTTAAATATCCCAGAACATATTGCTATCTGTATATTTTTTAACACTCCATTGTATATTCACTCTTCCCAGAGACTGTTGTGTGATGAGTGCAATGACACACATAATCAACGCCATGTTCCTTGGCTCAGATGTCTATTTGTTTTTTTCTGAAATGAGTTCCATCATCCGACTCAATTATTTTGGGGTGTCATGTTGCCACAAGACTTGTTTTTCAAGACCCAAAATGATGTTTTGGACAGTGGTATGAATCACAGGTAGTTCATGCAGTATTCACTTCCACTAGTGTGAACAAATGAGGTTGCCTTGGCATGTTTGTGGTAGTGAAATGTAGTCAGCCTGCCAAGCCTCCCCATATTAATATCTCAGTCATCATCCTCCATGCCATAGAGACTTTACCCACTTGGCTTGATTGATGGTCAAGTCCACCACTTGAACATAATGTTGCATCTCTTCTTAGGAGTCTTGATTTGTCATGGACTCATTGAGCTATGAATAAACATTGATGTGTTATCAAGTCTGCTTTAGTCACTAGACTAAAACAGCACTATGTAAGTTGATCAAGAAGAAAATTAGCTCTGTCCCAGCAAAACCTAGCAAAACAATGCTTTGATATGAGCTGTATTATATTTCTTATGCCTAGCAATAACAACGCAGTTCAAGTTAAGAACACCAAAAATTGATTCTTCTTTCCATGAAGAATCAATTCAGGGACAATGTTCAAATTATAGGCCCAGTTCAATTTTCTATAACAAAGCCACATCAACAGCAGATTTGTTACTCTTTGTCTTGACATTATTTTCTTGTACCATGGTGTGGAGTATTCTGTTCTATTTTTTACATCACTGTAGATTATTATGACTTAAATAATAATTATTATTTATGACATTATAATACATTATGACATTATTATAACTGTAGATTATTATAACTTTATTTATTAAGCTTCTGAAGAAATAAAAATATTTTTAAAGGCTTGTATGCAATTTTTGCCCATCTAAGTTATTGCTTGAGTACTGTGTTCAGTTTGGGGCCCCTCAGTACAAGAAAGACATTGAGGCCCTGGAGCATGTCCAGAGAAATGCAATGGAGTTGTTGAAGGGCTTGGAACACAAGTCCTATGAGAAGTGGCTAAGGGAACTAGGGTTGTTTAGTCTGGAGGAGGCTCAGGGAAGACTTTATTGCTCTCTACCATAACCTGAAAGGAGGTTGTGGCAACATGGAGGTTGGATTCTGTGGTGGTTTTACAGCAGCTAAACACCACAACCGCTCTCTCACTCCCCCTCCTTAGATGAGGAAGGGATGAAGTAAAGTAAAGAACGACTCACGGGTTGAGATAAGGATAATTTAATTAAAAGGAAAAATAATAGTAATTATTATTATTAAGGAAAGATTATTATTAACCAAACAATTTAACTAAAGGGGGAAAAAAAAAGGAAAGGGGAAAAGGGAGGGGGAAACAGAAAACAACAACAACAACAACAAACAAAGGCTATGTGGAAGTGCAAAGGAAAGAAATTACTCTCTACTTCCCACCCCAGAAATGAGTGATGCTTGACAATGTCCTTGAAGCTTGTCCATGTAGCCTGTGTTTGGGAGGAGGACCAACGTTTTCACGGGAGCCCACCGCTCCCCTCTTCTTCCTGTTTCCACCTTTTATTGCTGAGTGTGACGTCTCAAGGTATGGAATATTCCTTTGGTTGGTTTAGGTCAGCTGCCCTGGTGATGTTTCTTTTCTTACTTTTTTGCCCACCC